AATATACATAGTCTTTCATCACATCCATGATGCCATTCACAGCCCAGCTTCTTCCTCCATGTGTTTTCTACCCATTCGCCACACAGGACCCCCAGTTCTTTGGAAGGGCCCTCAATGTCCAATGTCTCTTGTATCATCCTAAAATGGGTCCATTCACTTCTGCATGCCAAAACCCACGATACCCTTAGTACCCTCGTAGACCCCCAGGAACTCCCTCCCCCAGCTCTGTTTTTCTTCCAATCCCTCCACATCACCAAATGTCTCATATTGCCTTGACCCACCCTGACATTACCCCAAAGAGCTATGAGATGGCACATTCCACGTCTGCATTACAACTTCATGTTTAACTTATAGGGAAAGGCTGGCAGGTTGGTCCGCAGCACGGTGGCAAATCCAGCAGCCAAACCCATAACTTCCCTTACTGTGGGGTGGGCAGCCCCACAAGCAGGGCATGCCCTCCTCTACCCATCACCTGTGGGTTTGGTGCAGGGAGGAACTCGGTATCATTACAGACCTGCAGCTTTCCATCAGACTTGATTAGTATGATGAAAGAGTCTGAAATTATTGTTAATAAATGTTAATAAAGGAAAAAAATTATATGTGAAGAAGTAATAAAGGAAAGGCTCAGCAGCAAGCACATAGGTGGAATGAAAGCAGGAGCCTTATTTCCTTAGGAAACTGATTCATAAATCCAGTAGACAAATAGTCAACAACAACATGTTTGCATGTCTGTCCGGGTGACTGCCTGATAGTGATCTGGTATGCTGAAAGTTAAGGGAAAGGCCTTGAATGAAATACCAGCTTGTTTATAAAGAAGATAAGAAAAACTGACTTCTGCCTGTTGTTTTTTTTCCCCTACCTATCATGTCCAATGCAAAGTAACCTTGAAGGCTTATCTAAGAATTTGTTATATACTTTCCTAACCCTGTCAGTCATAAAATAGTTATAAATAAAATAAAAAGAACAGCATATTCTCAAGTTTGGACTAAAACTTACATTTTAAAAGTGAGTTTTTATGAAGGTTAAGAATAAAAAACAACTGAATTTGATTTCTTTTCCTGGTCTACTCACAGCTTAATAGGTAATTAATGTTGCATAAAGGGAAATTCACATTTTGCTAGTCCAGCAAAAGAAAGGTGCAGAAAATAAATAGTCAGGAAACAGAGGTACAGATTCTGCCCTCTGTATTCACTCCGGCAAAATCAGTGATTCAGAAAGTTCCTAAAAAGTGGAATAATAAAATATTAGTTGTACTGCTACAGCTGTTCTCACTACCTCCTATACATCATTTCAGTATCCAAAATAGCCTCGCTAGACCTAAAGCCACTTGTTGATTAGGCTAAGATTTTTCTGTTGACTGACCATTTAGCTCGCAGTCTTAGCACCAGGCTATATATAGCCTTACCATTTGCTATTTTCCCTATTATAGCACACTATGGTAAAAATAAGCCATGGATACCGAGTTGCTATTTACAGTTAACCACAAAAGATATCCCAGTGTGTAGTACAGCTGCATTGATTGTGCTCATGGGATCTAAGGATTAGCATCCACTTGAAAAAAAAAAAAAAGACTCCTTTTTGGTTTGTAGAGGAATTACTGCTGCTGTGGTAATACCCCGAGTGACTCCGATTCCCATCTACATGAAAATATTCCCCCTCTTTCTAGAGGCAGCCATCTGCTCTCCAGTCTGCAAAGACACGTGCTCAGACACTGGAGAATAAATGATAATCATCTAGCCAGGCTTGATGCCCGCATTAGGAATGGAAACTAATATCAATAACTAGTGAATGATCGAATCCTCATGACTTGACGAAACAAGTCCTACATGAAACAAGCTTCAGCTGTGTGACTGCACACAACTTCATGCCCAAGGCTTTCCCCACTGTGAAGGCTGCAGCTTGTCTTCCTTTAGCTCCTGCACTGAGAGTTGATGGGACAGAATATGGGACAGAAGTGTTTAGGGAAGATTAGGATATTTTTTATTTGGGGGGACAAGAGGCTAACAAGATCCATTCTTTCAGCTTCAAAGAAGGGAACTTTCATTGTCCTTGTGGCCCTTTCACAGAAGTGCGTGAAGAAAAGCATAAAAAGCACAAGTACAGACCAACAAAGTACAAATACGGAGAACCCAGTACTGCTGGAAAGAACCCCTTGAGTACTGAGGGCTATAAAACCTATGCCATGATATGCTCACAGCTTATTCCAGTAACAACTTTTCTCTATTTCTTTTTTTAGTAAAACCCTATGTATTTCTGAAGTTCATCTCCAACTTCTTCATAGCTACAAAGCAATTAAGCTGTTAGTATGTGAAAAAATAAAATAAAATAAAATAAAATAAAATAATAAAAATCACTCATTCTAATGACTTCACAGTCAAGAAGCCATCAAATTCCAGTTTCCTACTTTTTTTCCTTCCAACCTCTCCCAATTAAAACATGTCTGAAGATCATAATTCAAGTCCAAATAAGCTGCTCATGTAGTCACTTTAAAAAAAAAAAAAAAAAAACACCTAAATACATTTCTAGTCTTAAAACTTCACAAAAAAATGTTCAGTTCCATGGCATAACAACCATTTCATGACTGCCTCTGAAGTAATGGGTCTGATTACAAGATAAGATACCGTGGAAAGCAGGAATATATTCAAAACAAGAAAAAGATTAGGATTTGCACTTACATTCCCATTCTGCTCTTAAAAGCAGCAGGAAGCCTTCCTCACAGTGACCCATAAAATATAACTTTAAAAAAAAAGTACCAAAAAAAGGCAACACAACAGCAAAGCACCAAATAATGACGTTTTACAGGCTTGCTTTATGCAGTGCACTGATTGAAGCCCCTACTAATTGGGCTCGGTTTGGTTCAGTGTGGGAGCATTTCTGGCAGCCTCCCCTCTACCTAAGATGAGTCCCTTTGAGTACTGTCACTGTGCAGTGACACAGGCACTTTCTGCAAAAAAAAAGAAAGCTTTGAAATGACTGAGTATACATAGGTCAGGCTACAAAAACACAGCAAAACATATAGCAAGTTACTACCTAGAGAGCTTATGCACCCCGAGCTAAGCTTTTCCCGTTATTCCTTCACTAAATAATACATGTTCTTAATTCTTAAGTTACAAGCAGGGAAAGAGTGAAAGATTAATGGAATTGTTGAATAGCAAAAAAGAGTTTATCAACAGCCATCAGCACTGCCCATTTTTAAGCAGACTGGGTTTTGAAAAGAAAGAAAAAAAAAAGAAAAAAAAAAAAAAGAAGAAGAAGAAGAAAGCAGTTTTCTGGTGGCACAATTTTCTCTTCAGAGCAGAAGAGACCAGTTCCATATGCTTGGAACTTTCTTAATGGAAACAGTTAATTTACCACATGAGGAATATCGCATGCATACCACTTCCACCTAAAATGAATCACTCCTTCCAGTTGAGAAAACTGAGGTCTTTTATCTTCCTCGGGGTGGAGTCCATCTCCTGCCCAAGATCCCTACAGAGCAAAGCTGCTAATCGTTTTAAGATTTAAAGACATTGCTTCTTTTGTGTTCATATATCACATTTCAATGTCTTCTAAACAAGAGAGAGTTTAATGTTTTCTGTAACCTTGAACTGGCTGATACACGGCTTTTATTGCTTCATCCTTGAGCTCCTCTGTAGTTCCATGATCTAATTTGTTACACTGGTGGTATTAAGCTGCTCTTACCGGATTAACAATGCCCGTTTTAAATTCCTTAAAGCTAATTTCTAAACGAATGTGCTAATTTGAATACTAGGCAATACAGTGAAAAACTGAAACAGGAGGAAAAAAAATAGATGTTTTAATATATTATGTCTCTCAGTAAGATGAATAGATAGAAAGTTCCTGCTTTATACTGTTCAGCCTAGGCAGAATATCTGTAGGACCTGATCCAAAATCTATTAGCATCAATGACATCTTTCTTTCAGACATACTCCTTTGGGGTCAGTTCTCAAAGGATTGTCCTGCCTAATTTGCTCATGGGAGTGTGAGCATAAACGCAGACTTTTGCTTGACTGGTGTTTCCACCCTCAGCCCGATTCATCTTCCAAGAGGATGGAGGAAAGGTCAAAATCAGAGGCAGATCACATTAGACACGACCATTTCTTTGACATAACCTCTGAATAATGTGTCATAGGTTCATTTGATTAGAAATGATGCGGTCCAAGGAGATAAAATAGGCAATGTAAAAGCAGCCTCCTTATCACTGAATAGATTCTAAGAATTTGAAATTTTAGACAGCGGAAAAAAGTGCTCTTCTGAGTCATGGGGACACTTACACAATGCTGTGTTGGCTTTTTATATGGTAATTTTAACTAAAAAAGTGTGTTGGGAGATTAAAATCACATAAAGGAGTTAGAAAGAGTACCCACAGAAATGCATGCTACTAGTTGCACAACAAGCAACAGGAACAACACATTTTACACACAAATGCTTGGTTTTGTGCTCTATTTTTGGCATTTATCTTGAAGTTTCAGAATGATCTTTCAAAAACAAGTACCTCATTTTGTGACGTGCATAGGATACTCAGCAGCTCCTAATTAAATGTCCCAAATGCAGGATTTAAAGCTGCACTCTAACATATACTGAATTAGGCTCTGCAAGACCAGTTTTTGGCACCTGTTCTTAAAATGAGGAAAACAAAAAACAAACAAACAACAACAAAAAAAAAAACCAACACTCTGTACCAAGATTACGCATTATTTTCCAGGAATCCAGCAACTTCTTGGAGAGATTAAATTTACTGCAGCTTTGAAATAAGAGGGTTGCTGCGAATCCTGGATGGTTGAGCATCTCTGCAGGGCTGGTAACAGCTAGCACAGGAGGGCTCTGGGGATTTTATCATAGCCAACCCATCCTCCTGTTCTGTTCCTACTTTTACATGCAAAAGAAAATGTTTGTGCTTAACACAATATTTATAGCTATAAGTAATAGCCAGTTCCTTTCTGGTTTTACTGTACCAGCATGTACAAGAAATACATAAAACTACATATATTATTGCTACTACTTTGCAAGATGTTGTATATATTGTAAAGCTGGCTCCCTAATAGAAGGCAGCTAAAGACCTCTGCACTTAAATCTGCCAAAGCTGATACAGCAATCACAAACATGTGTTGTTACACTTCTTGTGGCTCATCTCCACATGGTGCAGCTGTTGTGTTGGCTAACGAAAATGCAGACCCAAGGGAAACAAATTTAATTCAGCTGGGGTGACTTCCACTAAAAACAAAAGTGTTTTAAGGAGAACAGGTGCCTTACAGTAAGGGGGATTGTTTGTGGGGGTTTTCCCCAAACTTGCTGTGCTTCTAGGAAGTCTGCTCTAAAGTGGTGAGCCTGCGGTAATGATCTTTTGCAGAATAATTTTTAATAACATCCTGCAGAAAGGCGATGGGTTCCAGAAATGCTGTTTTTGTTTGTTTGTCCTAGCTGCAGGACAGGAAGACCAGCGCAAGACCTTATCGCATGAGCTAGAAGCTGGAGGCAGCCTGGGCAGTGTTGTTTGGATTCCTCAGCCTTAGGAAAGGTTTCGTCAACCAAGGGCTCTGCTGGGGCAGCCCCGCAGCCGGTGTAAGTCAGCAGCGGACACCCCCGGAGCTGTGCTCATTTATACCAGCTGGCAATCTGTCTGTGTGATGTTTTCAGCTTCACTTTCACCTAACGCCAATTAAACATAGCATCCTTCTGAATCAGTCATTATTTATGCGATAAATAAATAAATAAATAAACTAAGCTAAAGTAACACTTAGTCTAATAAAACATTATTAAGTGGGGGACTTGTTTCTTTTCCAGAAGGACATCGTACGTTGCACACCATGATACCTCCTTCAGTTTCGTTGCACCTGCCCACCTCAGACATTGCAGCAGCCACCAAACCTTCCTCTTCCTGTTGTCAACCCTCTTTCCAAAAAGAAAAAAATGTTACTCCAGGCAATACTCTCTTGTGTCCAGTGTCTACATACTTCAGTTTCTAGTTTGGGGCCTGTTTTTTCTTTCTCCCCCCAACAAGGTCAAAATTTTTGGTGAAGCAGAAGCCCAAATGAAAGATTTGTCCACACAGACCCCAGTCCTGCATTCCTACAGCATTGGTTCTTCTACAAGATGAACCTCTTCCTTCTCAAGTCTCACCCAAATAGAAGATATTATGGTAAACTTGTGTGTTTTTTTTTTTCTTTTTACAACATTCAGCTAGTTAGCTGTTGTGTCAGTCTTTATTGCTCATATGGTGAGTTCTCAGAGTGTCTTATGCAGAACTTGGTCAGATTTTTTAGGTTTCTTCTCAAGTTTCTGAATTGGAGACCCAGCACCCCCACCACATTCCTCCTTTTGAATAAAATCCAGGTCTCACCAAGCTCAATGGCAAAATCCAGGAGATTTTGTCCTCTGTGTGTGTCTGCACTTAAAGACCTGCAACACATCTTGCATTTTCATAGACTTATCCTTACCCAGGAAAAGAAAATTGTTCCACCCTTGCCACCTTTCTCAGCAGGAATTGTTACAGAGCCCCTGAGTCTCACTGGTTGAGGAGATGATGGACGCAGCTGTGCCTGTACTCACTCTGGCCTAATGTCAAAAGCCAGGAATAGATGGAGCGGGGGGTTGGACCAGAGGTCCTTCAGAGGTCCTTTCTGACCCCAACCATCCTGGGACCTGGAATATGCCACAGCGAGGGAGAAAATGGTCAAGGTTAACAAAATGAGGAGAAGCAACTGTAAAATGAAATTCATGTTCATGCTGAAGCTGTCATTGGGACATTCACTCTTTAATGTGTCCATGTACAAGTAGCATCGTTTCCAAACACTGGAAAAAAAATAAATATTATTTTTAGAGTGAGTTCAGTTCAGCACGATGGCCAAGTGTCACCGAGGAAGCCGGTTAACATGGTATCTGAATTTAAGAGTAACCTCTTGCTTTTCATGACATTGGAGTATGTGCTTGTCAGGGAAGTTTTATGTTTGAGGTTCAGGGAGAAGGTGATGGCCATCTCCTCTGAACGCTTTCAGATGCCTCATTTTCAGACCACCGCTGGCGCTCTTCCAGGAGGAGGCCTGGCCATTAGATAAGCTTAATATTACGGGGGCCATTTGCAAAGCAGATGAGAGCAGAAATAGCAAGAGGAAATGAGAAACCTAAGAAACCTGCTGAAACTCCTTTCAAATAAAGATCCGACCTTAGAAGGAAAAGGCTGAAAGAAAGAAAAAAAAATAATGCTGAGCATAAGTTTTCAGCTGCTAAAGCTGTAACCACTATCACGAGGGAGATAAAAGCACCGGTCAAAGAAAGACCACCGCAAGTGCCAGCCTCAGGAAACCTAGGAAACATTGCACTTGTTTCTTTGTGAGAGTCTGCACTGAAGTTTCCAGGTATTTCCAGATAGGCTCTACTTGCATCTGCTTTCAGGTCACCTTTTAATGATGAAATCCATGGCCACCCTGGTGAAGAATCCTGTTCAATAATCCCTTTTTTTTTTGCCAGTATTTAAAGAGTGGCATTACGCCACTCGGCGACTTGACAGATGCCACTTGGCAGACCCTGGCTGAGGCCCATTTTTTTTTTGTTGTTGTTCCTCATTTAATAGCTGACGTCTCCTTTGCACGAGCAGTTGGGAATGTTGTGAGCAGCGCCCCTTGGTTACGGTGTTTTCACTATCAGGGTTTCACATGGAAATGTGGTGGAAACGGGAACAGGGCTCTCTCCACTGATCATTTCCTGGCAGAGAGAAAATATTAAGTCATCTTTTTTTTTAATCAAACAGTCTCACCTGAGTAAATATTCTAGCAATTCCAATTTTTAATTTTATTATCATAGCCCATTGCTCAAGCTGTGTTTTCGGACTTTGTGGCCGTAATAGAGCTATGAGCGCACGAACGTTTCTCAAACTGGCATTGTATTCGGGTCCTTTTACATTTCCACACATAATCTGCATAACATTATTAAATCTTTCCTGTACATTATTTAGCCTCTGGGATCAAATGAAATCATACATAACTGGAACTCTTTGGGCTTTGACAGATGTCCTCTGGCAGATTTTTTTTTGCAGAGGTTTAACTTCTTACTGCTCTCGGCTATTTTCTTGGCCTTTTCCTGGAATGGGGACATATCTCAGCTGCTCTGCTGGAAAATGCTATCGTCTTAGCTGTTAAAGATAATAAAAGTGGGCTTGAGTTACTGTGCCAGACTGAACTTGGAAAGGTTGAAAGTAAAGGGTTGGTCCATTCAACCAGCTCACCTGTGGGAAGAGATGGAGACATGGCCATGGAGCTGCCCGGAGCAGCTCTCACTGATTTGGGAAGGCTCAATCTTTGGAGGAATACTTATAGCATCTAGCATCTATATAGATGCTAGGTCCATTTTCCATAGGAGAGCACAGAGAAGCTGGGTATTCTCTTCAAGCAGCAAAGGTCAACAAAAATACTTAACTTTTGGAGCTCCTTTCTGTAAGCATACAGATCCTTGGGCAATCTGTCTGCTGCCTCCTACTAGGGGTCATGAAGGCACCCAAAGTAACACCATACCTGCATGGTAGAGGGTTTGCTTGCTTTCATCTATACACCTGCACAAGACTTTTTTATCTGAGGGAGAGCTTTTTTTTTTCTTCTTTTGTATTTTCTAAACAACCTCTTTACTAATGAGAACCCTGGGCTTCAGGTCTCTACCTCTGTATAAGTTACCACTCTTTCTGTAGATTTGGGCTGAATACAAACAGTCAATCCAACATCCCCATTTTTTTTTAACCTCTATATCAACCATTTAACAGAAAAAAAAAAAAAAACAAAAAAAAAAAACAAACCTTCTAAATGCCATCACGTTTTAATGAGCTCAGGCATTTTTTTTTTGAACAACCGAGCGTTCAAATCTGTGAATAAACCTAAGAATGTGTCAGTGCCTTCAAGAAGCGTGCTTTAGTTGTAAGAAACCACAGCTGCAACAATAAGATGGAAATTTGACACACGCTAGGTTGAAGGTGGCAAGGATTAAAGGTATGGAATTAGGAAAGGGAAAAAAAAAAACAAAAAACAAAAAAAACTTGCCGTGTTGAACAGAATACAGCCCATAAATCAATGCCTAACTTTGGCTGAGCTTCGCGCTGTGGAAGTATGCAGCGCTGCAGCCTCGCAGTTATCAGTATTTGTCATCTCGAGTATCAGTACACATGCCAGATGCAAAAGAGGGGCCCGGAGAGAATATGGGGGATGAGGAAAAGAAAATTAATAATTTCGGTGACAATGTACGCTATTTTGATGCGAAACAGAACTTCTGTAATATTTCAAGGGACTTATATATATATATGTATGGGCAAAAGCTGTTGGAAATAAGCCTCCGACTTCAAAATGCCTGATTAAAAAGAATCCTGATAAGCACTGAGAAGCGACCAGCTGGAACTTTGATTGCAGCTATGTTTTCTTCTAGATGTTTATTTCTAGATCACTCTTGCAGCTGCTTTTATCTGTTCCTTAGAAGTTCTCGTAGATTTGAGGAACCATTAGCTGTAAAAGTAAACATCAGCTCTGCTCTGTTTTTCTACATCATCTTGAAACCGTTGGGGAGGGGGGGGAGATAACATTAGACTAATGCTGAACTAGATCAGACGTAAGTGGTGATTTGAACTGCTTCTTAGCGTTTCAGGCTCCACCTGTAGCTCTAGCCGTAAGTTATTTCTAATATTCTCATTTACCAAGCACATGTAATAGCTCTAGGAATGACAACGTTTCTGAGAAGCTGAAATTCATGTCTCGCTGTGTTTCAAGGGACAGGCACTTTCAAGTGTGCCTCCACTCTCTGGGTGTAGGCACGGTCCCGAAAACCGATTCCACTGCCTTTCAGTATCTGTCGTCTGTAAATATTATGCTTTGAACAAAACAGATCCGCAGTTTTGGCTCCACTTCACTCTGTTTTGTTACTGGGGTTGTTTAAGTGTTCCTTAATAACTGCGGTTTTGTATTTGCTCAAGAGCTGTCTGCTTGGAGACTGGAGAAAGGTCAGGGTTAGCCCTGCTTAACCTGCTGCTGACCCTTGGTGGTGGTCCCCTTCGCAGAGCTCAGGAGTGCCTGCTGTGGCCGCAGGCTGCCTCTCCCCGAGGGTAAAATGCCATGTTACGTGTGCTTGTCCCATCCTCCCAGCAGATGTTCTCACCGTGCCACCTTGGGCAAAGCCCTCTGGCCAAAATCACGGCGACTTCTCCACCTTCAGGTCCTGCAGAAGATGCTTTTTGTCCAAAGCACCTTCCAGGTGGCACCATGAGCCTTCCTGTGGGGCCTTTCTCAGACTCAGAAGATGCTTTTTCATTTACTATAAGCTTTGATTCCTCCATCATTTCCATTTCTGCCAACGATGGAGGCTTCCCCTCGACTTTCCATGGGCACTGTCCCGGGCTTCCTGAAAGTCTGGGCTCCTCGCTGCCCTCACAGCTGGGGGCTCTCACTCCAAAGCATTTTTTGTTCCAGAGCTTCTGCTGCTCCCCTTCATGCCTGAAACAGCCTGAAGCAGAGCTGTGCCTACGCGGGCAGCCTCTGACAAGTGCAGCGGGGGAACTCAACAGCCCTGGCTGTATTTGAGCAATCAGCAACCAGCAGGACAAATGAAGTGGAAAAGGGGAACGCGCACTGCCCTTGGAAGGCTGTGGTGTGGCTGACAGTATCTCCTGCCTTTCTTCATCGATCTGCGAAGCTGAAAATAGCAGCCTGGAGGCACTGCTCTTTCTGCTGCAGCGCAATGGTCCGGGCTTTCAGCACTTCTCTTGTGGCTAAAATAAGTTCTGTTGTTGAAATGAATGGGCTTTGTATTTTTCTTGGAAGCCGTTCCCAACGGGGCGTTTGGACGAGCACTATAACCAGCTAATAAGTTTCCCCAGCCTATCGCGAGGGAGCAGGTCAAATAAATGAAACTGGCAGCGCAAACGAGGCAGATGTGCTGTAACTGCTGATGTTCCTTACCAGCTGTACCACGCCGCCTGGCACAGCCGAAATGGGGAAAACGTCTGCTCACTGGTTTTCATCCTCCTGCTTACCAACTGGGGTGGGTCCCTCGGTTACTTTTGAGGGGTCTGG